TGACTCTCTGTAAACTGCTTAGAGAGGGCTGAAAGCCCTATGAAGCGGTATATAAGTCTACTACTATTGCTATCTAGAATATAGCTGTGGTTTTTCTCCGCAAGTCTGCCTTGTATTCTCTGGAGGTGTCCCTCACTCAAACAAAGGCAGCCAGTTGCTCTAAATCAGAGGTGTCCAACCTTGGCAGCTATTAAGACCCGCGGATTTCAAGTCCCAGAATTTCTCCAGCCAGCCATTAAAGTTACCAAGGTTGGACATCCCTGCTCTAAATGAGCGGATTGTTCTCTTCTAGGCAAAATAGCTGTTTTGGCTCCAAACCTATCATGTTTGTTTTTTTAAAGAATAAATGGAACCCTTTTTATGACCGTGGTTAGGACCTTCACACCTGCAGGGTTGATTCTGGAAAACATGCTTTTATTCTAATTTGTGTCCCACTGTTCCTTAGTGAACCACCAAGGACTCTATTCAAACATTCTCTATTTTTGAAACTTGGCAACTTTAAAAATGTGTGAACTTCAACTCTCAGAATCGTCAGCATGTCGGGTTCAAAAACAGCTCTCTCTACCTGCTGTCTTGCGGTTAAGGCCAAATACTGCCTCAGGTCTCCCAAACTATCACATCTTCCATACCTCTTGAGGACATGTCTTGTAATATTATAGAACAACTTCCTACCAGGCCTCTTAAACTGACTGTTTAAAGGACACCTTTGGCATCTTAATATATATTGTGCAATTATGTTTATTCAATGGACAAATTCCTATATTTCTTTTTCTTTTTTTTTTATAACTGTAGATGGAGTAAATAATTTATACTTCTAGATATTAACAGGTCTGTGAATCTGGACTGGAGTCCTCTAACCATTTTCATGCTAGCTATTTTTATTTTTCAACGGCAATAAGATCCTTCTGTTGTGTGGGAAGGTAGGGATACACTGAAGTATTTTTATGTACAGTTTTGAAATGTATTATTTTTCATAAACTACCATTAAAAGTATTTGTTTTTATATCAACTAAAACCAACTGTAGTAAGGCAGTTTGCATGGGACTTGTCTGTATGTGTGTTTGGAAGGCATTGAAATGCACTGATCCCAACTTTCCTGAACTAAAACTCCAGGTTTCTTAATTGTTTCCTTTTTTTACAACAGGGAGTAAAATGATAAACAATATAGGGACAAAGAACATAAGCAAATAGAAACACAAGGTTATAAAGAAATAAATTCAACAGCCCTGAACAAAAAATCAATTAAAATAAGGATTATCTTCNTTAAATCACTTTATATTCATTTTTTGGTGTAATTGTATTTTATTTTGAAGGCATGTTTAAATACAATTAAATTTAAATTATTAAATCAAAACAATCTAAAATATAAACAATCAACGTCCCCCCCCCCCCTCAGTGGGCTGCAGTAAAATTATCAAACGTTGACCGGTCTGCGGTGATTAAAAGGTTGGGGACCACTGATCTAGAGAGAACTCTTTACATGATTGAAACTACTCATTTTTATTTCATTATAACGACACCTTCTTAAATGGAATCATTTTTCAAAATTGTTCATATTATGTAAGGAAATTGAAAAAGACTGTTAAAGAAAGTATCCTCCTACTTTTGTGGCAACTCAAAAAATCATCATTGCTTAGTTTTTAAAAAAAATATTACTAAAGATATATTTTCAATTTATTTTTCAGCTATGAGAAACTTCCTCCAGGGCTAATTAAGGTAGGTGAGAGGGCTACAAATAATATTTTTAAGGAAAAAAATAACAGATATAATGTAAATATTCTTCAAATGTGATTGTGTATGCCCTGAAATCCATTTTTGCCTACAGAAGTGTTAGTGTTATTTTTGCATCTGAGTTTGAAGTAAAATATATCCATCAGATTTCTTTTAAAACATCACTAGGCAACTTTTTCAATATAGAATGCCACATTTGATTCTATATAGCATGGATCGTTAACCTGGTCCCTACCGCCCACTAGTGGGCCTTTCGGGATTCCAGGTGGGTGGTAGGGACTTCCGAGATTAAAACCTCCTTCTGAGCGAGTGGAGTGACTAGGCGCGAACGCACACATCAATAAACCAATGTGCACAGTTGCAAAATAGGAAAAGCAAACATGTGGGAAAAGGAAGGGGAGGAGTGGAAATGGATAGCAGGGACAAGCAGAAGCCGAGCAGAGCAGTTGCAAAATAGGAGAAGCAAACACGTGGGAAGAGGAAGGGGAGGAATGGATAGCAGGGACAGGCAGAAGCCGAGCAGAGCAGTTGCAAAATAGGAGAAAGAAAAGTTATAGGCAGGAGAGAATTGTTGTTGGCTAATAATANACAGACAGACGGATGGATGGATAGAGAGAGAGAGGATGTGTATAATTAAGGTGACCAGACGTCCCTAGCGAGGTTGTGGGCTGGCAGTACTGCGTCTGTGCGATGCTCCAGCTGCTCCTGGAGGATCGTGCAGGCGCTGTATGCGTCCTGCGCATGCGTGGAAGCACAGAATTCGGCAAAACCGGGTAAGGAGTGGGCGCGGGCACACACGCGCGCACGGGGGGTGGGCCTTCGCCGTTCTCGGAAGTTACTTACTTCCGGGTTCGGCGACCAACCGGATCGCGGGGACCGCCACGAACCGGTTGAAACCCACCCCTGCCACCCACCCTTTGGCAGAGCACAGGTGAGCCCTGCAGATCTGGAGGCAGGGGAGGTGAAAAATGGGGTGCCCCAGGAGGCACAAAAATAGGTGAAAATGGCAGATTTTGGCCAAAAAAACTAGGCCATTTTTGCCCATTTTTTGCCAGTAGAATGCTTCTGGAGGTGGAG